AGATCGCCAGCCCAGGTTGGATGCATGAGACAAGTGCTCGGGGCTGGTGCACTGGGAAGACCCAGAGGGATGGGATGGAGAGGGAGGTGGGAGGGGGGATCAGGATGGGGAACACATGTGGATCCATGGTTGATTCATGTCAATGTATGGCAAAAATCACTACAATATTGTAAAGTAATTAGCCTCCAACTAATAAAAATAAATGAAAAAAAGTGCTCAAAAAAAAAAAAAGAAGAAAAGAAGAATGGCCACTTACTGTTTTTCAAGATGGAGAGTGTATGTCTTCCTGCCAATTTTGATGGAATAGGTAACCTATAGCAAAATATTCAAAGAGAAAGTAGTGATTAGATATTTCAAAACCCTAAAAGTACATCTCTTCCTTCTTTTCCTTTTCCTTAGTCTATCTCACCAAATGTACTGTTTTACATTCTTCTCAGAAATCAGCTTTTGACAGTGGGAATCCAGGCTGCTTCAGCATAACTTCTCTTTCATTAATTCTACTTCTTAATCAGCATCATTAAGAATTTTAAGGTTATAATTATTTTTCTAATTTTTAAATTTCAAACCTTTTTTTAGTACCAAATATTTGTGACTAAAAATTATGCCCCTATACCATTTTCAGAGGGCAATTCAAATTTTTCTATGTAATTTCTTCATTCTAGTTCATTGTTTATTATTTAGCATCCATTATGATTTATGATTTCTCCTTCAGCCCATGAACCATGTACATTTTTAAATTTCCAAATACATTTTTCAGTATTTTTGTTAAGTTTAAACCTAATTGTACTGTTCCCAAATAATGGGCTCTGTACAATCACTATATGCCTTTCATTTATTTTTATTTTTTCATTTATTATGCATGCATGCCTGCTCAGCTGTGTCCAACTCTTTGTGACCCTGCGGACTGTAGCCCACAAGGTTCTTCTGTCCATGGGATTATCCGGACAACAATATTGGAGCGGGTTGCCATATCCTCCTCCAGAGGACCTTCCTGACCCAGGGATCAAACCAGTGTCTCCTCCGTCTCCTGAGTTGGCAGGTGATTACCACTGAGCAAACTGGGAAGTCCCTTATTTTACTTGTTGTGGTCAATTTTGTGAGTGACACCATATATTCTTCAGAAGTATGAGAAGCATTCTTCAGAAGCATTATTTACAGTGGAGACAGAGCATAAGTACATCTTGATTACAAAAGCTTTATCTGTTTCTGGGGATACTGACAAGTCTGGGTGTTTCTGATTCTTAGCTAAGACAAGGACAGTAATGCTTTGTTTAGGGTTCAAAACTCCCCTGGTCAAGGTTAGTTCTGTTGTTTTCCCCAACTAGTTCAACAAGGCTGGCTTGGCTTCTTAAAACTTCACTGAAAACTTTGTAAGGAGTTCTTCCAAAGCCAAGATTCCTCCTATAAGTCTTATGATTTTAAGCGAGAGACTCAACATATTTCCAGAGCAGAGAGATTGAGTTCATGTGGAACTAGCTCATTAGGGATGCTTCATGGATTCCTGATATTTGCTTGAATTCTCTTTCTCCTGCGGTAATGTAGGTTGTATCATTAAATGAAAACCTCCTACGTGACATCCATAGAATTGAGTGAGTCAAAACAAAGAGCAGAAAAACAATACATAAGCTTCATTTGGTTCAATTTATTCATTGACAGAATGTTTATTTTTGTTGTTCAAATGTTTCTTCTTCTTAGAATTTTATGATCGGCCAATCAACATTTGAGATAACCATTTACATATCTCTCTATGGAAATGGATTTGAAAATTTCTCCTTGTCATGCTATCGGTTTTCATGTTATGTGCTGAGGATGTTTTATTAAATTCATATAAATTTGGAATTTTAATCTGTTTCATGTGAATTGAATATTTTAAAGTAATGACGCTTTCTCATAATGTTGGGTATGTGTGTTTGTGTGCATGTGCGTGTACCAAATGCTGTCTTTTTCCTGCTATTATCATGGGTCCTCGTGTTTTCTTTGGTAGCATTTCCCAGTGTACATTTGTTACACTCTCTTAAACATTTCAGCATCTTCAGATATTCATTGGGGGGGTGTAATAGCTTTTATGAATACACAATTGCTGGTGTTTCTTGGTGCCACAAAGTGAGCCAGTCAGAAGTAGACCATTCAGTCTATAAAACCTGCCCCAGTGTCTAACATAGTTTTTCAGTTGACAATTGCAGATGTTCCTCTCAGGTCATGCTACTGGGATTCTAATTGTTGGATTCTTATCTAATCCCTGAGCTTCTTTACATCAATATTTCTTCCTTCTTGAAAACATAGTGTCCTATCCAAAGTCACTAATTCTTATTAAAACAGAAGTCAAAACCAGAAAAAGACTGACAACTAACAAAATGGTTCCAATAGTCAACAGACAGAAAGGCATCTCTTGTTAAGGGTTAACCAAAAATTACCTGTTCAAAGTGAAGCATTCATTTAAGATGTTCATAAGAGCAAAGATGAGAAGACTGAAGAGGAGAGGAGGAGTGGTCTCAGGAAGATAGGCATCACTGTTTTTGTGAATGGGAGTCAAATATAATGCAACTTTTCTGGTAGACCTTTTCGATAGTTATCTTTTTTTTTTTTTTTTTACAGTGGCTAGCCTGTTGATCCTACCAAGATGACTATTCAAGAAGGTTTATGAAACTATCTGCTGTGCTTAGTCGCTCAGTTGTGTCTGAGTCTTTGCGATCCTTTGGACTGTAGCCTGCCAGACACCTCTGTCCCTAGCAATTTTCCAGGCAGGAATACTGGAGTGAGTTGCCACGCCCTCCTCCAGGAGATCTTCCTAACCTAGTGATCGAACCCAGGTCTCCAGCATTGGAGGCAGATTCTTTACTGTCTGAGCCACGAAGGAAGCACATGAAACTATCTACGTGTCTAAAATGTGAAACACTGTGTTACATATAAGGTATCTGACAGTTAGGGAAAATAATGTCAGAGCTGTATTATCATAAAAATAATCCTAACTCTACCCATAAGAGATAAAGTCAATTACAACTCTCATGCATGCTCATTAAAAATATACGTGCATGTGTGTATGCATGTCTCTAAAACTTCAGTTTCCTTCAAATTTACTGCCTTTAGAAAGTGAGGTGGCCATTCACCTTCTTAACAAGTCTCTGTACTGTCTACATTTCATTTTACAATGTACATAATGCACATGTTTTACTATGTTAATCAAATAAAAAATAACATTACAAAGATTTATATATGCACATGTGTGTAAGTACAGGTATGAAGATATTCTTTATATATTGTCGTTTTAAAATTATGCTATGATGTAAATATTGGTATGGCCTCTCTTACACAGAAGGCATTTTTAAATGTACATCTTTTATAGAAAACAATCTAGTAGGCTGTAGATACCTTTTTGTGTGACAAGAATTCAAGGCATCTTTTTCCTCTGAGTCTATTTCATAATGTTCATCTATTACTTGAGAATGAAAACAGTAACACTGTCAAGAACACAAAATTTCAACAAGGGATAAGCATGCATTGATTTGGGTCTTGCACTCCAGGAGAAAAAACAAACATATTTTTAAAGTTATTTCTTAATTACATGTGTTTTTGAAATTCCACTGTCATTATCTGTCCCAGTCTTCTGTGGCACTGTAATTTGTAGAAGTGATGTTTCAGAGTCTGCAGTAAGGAAGAGAGGAGTGAGCATCCCCCAGTCCAGGGCAGCATTCATTCTTATTTGTCCTCTCCTATCACATCACTTGTGGATCTTCCAAGCCCCAGTGGGCGCGGGCACACACACACACACCAAAAATCATACTGTGTAGGGTTTTAAGAAGAGGTCCCCAGGACCCCATCCAGGATCCTCTCCCTACCCCCATCCCCACCACATCTCCCTGTGTAGCCCCGTCAACTATCCCAGTCCTGCTCTGATACCTCCGACCAGACCCGCCCGGGCTCCCCCAGCCTGGCCTGGGCTTCTGGCCCGCGCCCAGGGACACTGTGACGATGGGCCCCCCTCCTATCAGGCAGAGCCCTCACTTACGATGGCCAGCGGAGGCCAGCTGGCCCAGACCTGTGAGGATTAGCAGGAGAGACAACATTGCGTGACCGGCCTCGCCTCAGGGAAGGCTGTTGACTGGACGTGACTCGCGAGGTTTGCCGCGCCGGGGGTTGGGAGCCGGACCTGGGAGGGGCGTGGCTGGGGCTGAGGGGCGTGGCTGGGGCTGAGGGGCGTGGCTGGGGCTGAGGGGTGAGATGTAACGAGGGGGCGGGGCAGGAGTGAAAAGAGGAGCAGGGGGCTGAGGCCAGGCGAGTCTGGAGGGCGGGGCAGGAGAGGGTAGGAGCAAGCCTGCGGGGCTGGCCTGCGGGCAAGCTGGGCAGGCAGGTGGAGAAGGCAGTTCTGTTAGAGCGATGAGTGGGGTGAAGGATGGAAGTGCAGCTGTGCATTGGGCCTCTCCCCAGCTTGGGCACCAGGATTTGCGGGGGGGCGGTTCACCAGCAGCTAGGTGTTTTTGGGAGTCACAAGGGAGACTTTTTTGAACTGTGGTGTTGGAGAAGACTCTAGAGTCCCTTGGACTGCAAGGAGATCCAACCAACCCATCCTAAAGGAAGTCAGTCCTGAAAATTCATTGGAAGGACTGATGCTGAAGCTGAAACTCCAATACTTTGGCCAGCTAATGCGAAGAACCGACTCCTTGGAAAAGACCTTGAGGCTGAGAAAGATTGAAGGCAGGAGGACAAGAGGACTACAGAGGATGAGATGGCTGGATGGCATCACCGACTCGATGGGCATGAATTTGAGTAAACTCCGGGAGTTGGCAATGGACAGGGAGGCCTGGCGTGCTGCAGTCCATGGGGTCGCGAAGAGTCGGACACGACTGAGAGACTGAACTGAACTGAAGGAAGACTTCCTCCTGCCCAAGTGCACTTTATTTTCGAAAATCTGACATTTTAAGTGTATTTAGGGATAGCGTAAGTGTTACAAAACACTTTCTCCTCTTCATGTAAGCATTTTGTTGGTGAAGTGCTTGGCTATATTAGTAGTCCATGTCACAGCGTTCTGGTACAATAGCTGAACGACTAGGGAAAGAGAAAGAAAGTACAAATTTACAATCTGTTTAGTAGTAGACAGTTTCATACTTTAACTATATCTACTGTCAGATTTCTCTTTTAAGTGTCAGATCAAAACAGGTACTCAAAGGAACAGAAAGAGTGAAAAATAAAGGATCAATGGCTTCCAGATGTGCAAGTTGCATTTAGAAAAGGCAGAGGACCCAGAGATAAAATTGCCAACATCCATTGGATCATAGAAAAAGCAAGAGAATTCCAGAAAAACATCTACTTCTGCTTCATTGACTACCCTAAATCCTTTAACTGTGTGGATCACAACAAACTATGGAAATTCTTAAAGAGATGGGAATACCAGACCGGTTAACCTGCCTCCAGAGAAATCTGTATGCCGGTCAAGAAGCAACAGTTAGAAACAGACATGAAACAACAGACTGGTTCAAAATTGGAAAAGGAGTACATCAAAGCTGTATATTGTCACCCTGCTTATTTAACTTATATACAGATTACATCATGAGAAATACCAGGCTGGATGAATCAAAGCTGGAATCAAGATTGCCAGGAGAAATACCAATAACCTCAGATATGCAGATAACACCACCTTTATGGCAGGAAGCGAAGAAGAACTAAAGAGCCTCTTGATTAAGGTGAAAGAGGAAAGTGTAAAAGCTGACTTAAAACTCAACATTCAAAAAACTAAGATCATGGCATCCAGTCCCATTATTTCTTGGCAAATAGATGGGAAAAATGTGGGGAAAGTGGCAGATTTTATTTTCTTGGGCTTCAAAATCACTGCAGACAGAGACTGCAGCCCCACAATTATAAAAAGCTTTCTCCTTGGAAGGAAAGTTATAAGTAACCTAGACAGCATATTAAAAATCAGAGACATCACTTTGCTGACAAAGGTCATATAATCAAAACTACAGTTTTTCCGGTAGTCATGTACAGATGTGAGAGTTGGATCATAAAGAAGGCTGTTTTGTTCAGTCACTCAGTCGTGTTCACCTCTTTGTGACCCCATGGACTGCAGCACACTAGGCTTCCCTGTCCTTTGCCATCTCCCAGAGCTTGCTCAAACTCATGTCCACTGAGTTGGTGATGCCATCCAACCATCTCATCCTCTGTCATCCCCTTTTCCTCCTGCCTTCAATCTTTCCCAGCATCAGGGTCTTTTCTAGTGAGTTAGCTCTTCACATCAGGTGGCCAAAGTATCAGAGCTTCAGCTTCAGCATCAGTCTAAAGAGAGCTGAGCACTGAAGAATTGATACTGTCGAAATGTGGTTCTGTAGAAGACTTTTGAGAGTCTCTTGGACTACAAGGAGATCAAACCAATCAATCCTAAAGGAAATCAACCCTGAATATTCACTGGAAGTACTGATGCTGAAGCTGAAGCTCCATTTCTTTGGCCACCTGATGAGAAGAGTGGACCACTGGAGAAGACACTGGTGCTAGAAAGATTTAGGGCAGGAGGAGAAGAAAGCAACAGAGGATGAGATGGTTGGATGGCATCATCAGCTCAGTGGGCATGAGCTTGAGCAAATTCCAGGAGATAGTGAAGGACAGGGAAACCTGCCATACTGCAGTCCATGGGATCACAAACAGTAAGACACAACTTAGTGACTGAACAACAACAAATGTATTTGTTTACATATGAATACAAATTTATGTGTGTAAATATATAGCTTTACATTTATTACTTTACTGCTGATTTATCATTTAGTATGAGGCAAAATAATTACAGCCATGAAATGATTGAAAATAATAAAAATTCATTTATTTAGTGTTGTATACTTTTGATTCTTTGAAAAATCCATGGTTTAGAAAGACTAAAGTGAAAGGCTAAATAGAATGTTTCCAGTCACTACAGAGTAAAGAATATGCCTGTCAATGCAGGAGATGTGGGTTTGATCCCTGGGTCAGGAAGATCCCCTGGAGAAGGAAATGGCTACCCACTTCATTATTTTTGCCTGAGAAATCCTATGGACAGAAGTGCCTGGTGGGCCACAGTCCATGGGGTTGCAAAAGAGTCAGACATGACATAGCTTATTTAATCTGTGGCATGTGGAAAAGATATTTTCCATGTATATTTCTCACACATATTTCCTTTAGGCAAACTTACTGCAAATGGTGATAAAGAGAATCACATTCTACTATTTGAAACTTGGAAAAAGATACATTGCAGAAAAAAAATCTTGACACTATAAATAAGAAGATACACTTAACATTAATAAGAAAATAAGAAATATCTAATTTCCTTCATTCAAAATTAGACATACATATATATGTTGAAAGGCATTTCGATGAATATAGTTCTTTCAACAAACGACCCTGGACTATTTGGCACACATTTGCAGAAATACAAACTTTATCACATATGTCATAATTTCAAATTTTGCTTCAAATTTTGCACAAAAATGCCTCAAAATGAATCATAGGTCTAAATGTGCATTGCAAAGCTATAAAACTTCAAGATGAAAGCATAGGAGAAAATCTGAGTGACTTTGGGTTTGGTGGTGAGTTTTTAAATATAACAGCAAAAGCATAATCCAAGAAGGAGAACAATGATAAAATTTAAAAATGTTTCCTCAGCAAAAATTACTGATTTGAATGAAAATATGACACATATCTGAAGGAAAAAAAAACTCAATTTTTATCTGATAAAAGGAGAAGAGGGCAGCAGAGAATGAGATGGTTAGATAGCATCACCAACTCAATGGAAATGAATTTCAGCAAACTCCAGGAGTTAGTGGAGAACAGAGGAAACCAGGCTTTGCTACAGTTTGCTGCAGCAAAGTTTGCTACAGTTTGCTACAGTTGGTTTGCTACAGTTCATAGGGTTGCAAAAATTCAGACAACCCAGCTACAACAAATATGTGATAAAGGACTTATCTGCAGATTATCTAAGGACAATTGTGTGTATACATGTGCTGTACACATATATCAGATTCATATATCTGTCTGTTGTGAGGTTCTAGAAGCAATGAAACCCAAATAGCAAGGAGCAAACCTAGCATCTAGGTCTGCAATATTGTTTCCCAATAAAAGAAACCAAGAATCCTTGTAGAAAAGGCTGCTTCTAGGACTGTGACAAGGAATATACAAGATAATTCTGAAACACCCTTTATGGAGCCTGAAAGTCAAGAACTACTCAAAAACCAAAAACATATGGGGTACATGTAGCTGCCTTTTTTTTTAATATATAGATTTAAGTATAAAAAGTGAGAAAAATAATCTTACAGGTGTTTTCATGTTGTCAGGAAATAGCTGACAAACACTACTTCCTCCAAGTTATCAAGATTGATATTAGGTTATCAGTTTATAGCATTTGTCTTTGATGTGATGTGATGAGAATGATGTCCCAACTCTGTGAACTTATTACCTAAACCCATAGCCCCAGCCTAATGCATGATGGAAATAAACATATGGCTACAAGATAAACACTTTATTTCCCATCTGGTAAAAATTATGTATTCAAAAGCTCCAGTGTATACTTACAGAATAAACAAAGATGGAAGGCTTAATGGTACACATCCCAGCTCTGGTGGGAGAGTTTGTAAAGGAACAGTCATAAAGGCTGGGACAGCATGAATTTTTAGATATGGAGCTGTATTCAGCATGTACATTACTCAGGTTCCCTCAACAACATTACCTGTCACGGTGTTCTTGAATTCTCTTTTTTTCTTTTCCTCTGTAAAGTGTCATGATGGCCAATTAAGTCATTTTCTCTTTCAGTGAATATGAACCAACATTTCCCTAAATGACATACATGTGATGTGTGTGCAATTGAATGTGTCTTCATAAAATGGGCTTCCCTGGTGGCTCAGATGGTAAAGAATCCACACGCAATGCAGGGGATCTGGGTACAATCCCTGGGTCAGGAAGATTCCCTGGAGGAGGACATGGCAACCCACGCCAGTATTCTTGTCTGAAGAATCCTGTGGACAGAGGAGCCTGGCAGACTACAGCCCACAGGATCGCAAAGAGTCAGACATGACTGAGCGACAAAGCACAGCACACAATAATAGTTTTCAAAGAAAATATCACTTTGAGGCTAAAATCCTCATTCATGCTGTCACATATTGGGATTAATATAAGGGTTTCTTGCCTTCAATGAGTTAAAGAGTTAGGTCATCAGAAAGGAAGACACACAAAAGTAAGAATATCATGCACAAGTTTGTCAGAAACAGTATCTAATTTCAGATGAATTCTGCAGAGACTTTTTAACAACAATTGAGACTACTAAAGAGATAGAAATATTTTGAGGTTCAAGGATTTATTAATGACATTTTTAATATAAATTCTAAATTGGATAAAAAGGATTTCTCTGAAGGAAACAAGCACTGCTACTTAATTTAGATCCATTTAGAAAGGAACCTAAAATGATATACCAAATAAAGTTTTCTCATATTAAGTGCCTAGTACACTGTGGAATGCGCATCAGGAAAACAGTTCTAGAGCAGTCAAAATTTTTATTTGCTTTAATGTGCTTGCTAACAATGAACTATTGGGAAGACAAAATGGATAAAAGGACATTTGTTTTAGATTTTAACATAGCACACATTTCATAATAAATATAACAAATGTTATATAATCATGAATTAATGACACTGATTAATGACTAGCACAATTTAAGATACTAAATTATTTGAAAAATCTTACTTACCCCTCATGTTCCACACTCTCTTTGTTGCATGATTTTCTCATTTTATTTCGCTTCATGATCCTAATGGCGAAAATTATGAAAAAGGGCAGAAAAATGTAGAAACATAAAATAAGCCAGTTCTGATGTGTACTGTAGCTTTTTTTAATAAACATTGTATCTGGAAGTGAAACACAGAAATAAGTGGATATTCACTGAATGTTTAAATGCATTTGTATTTATCTCACTTTAATCATATGCATCCTGGAGGAGGGAATGGCAACTCACTGCAGTATTCTTGCATGGAGAATTCCATGGACAGAGGAGCCTGGCGGGTCACCAAGAGTTGGACAGCAATCATATGCATACATGTAAAATCATATACATAACTGAAAGTTTAAGACCTCGCAAACTGTCATATATGATAAAATAAAAGGGCATTTAAGCTCATACCCAAAACTACAACTGCATATTTTTCATAGGCTTACTCAGTTCAGTCAGTTCAATTGCTCAGTCATGTCCGATTCTTTGCTACCCCATGGACTGCAGCATGCCAGGCCTCCCTGTCCATCACCAACTCCCGGAGCTTGCTCAAACTCATGTCCATCGAGTCAGTGATGCCATCCAACCTCTCATCCTCTGTCATTCCCTTCTCCTCCTGCCCTCAATCTTTCCCAGCATCAGGGTCTTTTCCAATGAGTCAGTTCTTCACATCAGGTGACCAAAGTAATGGAGGCTTACTAGTCATCTTTTATGCATATTTTTAAAGTATTATGATACTGTATACACAGTTTGAAGTCTGTTTACTACATTCATTCTATTTATTTATTTAAAAGGTGACATATTAGTAGAGCTTAAGTTAAAAACTTAGCAATATGCTGTGAAAGCTCCCATCCCCTCCCCTGCCAAGTCACATAGTTTTGCTCCTCGAAGGAAACCATTTTTAGACTATGTTTCTCCATCCAGTATTTATATTTTATACATATGAATAAAATCCATTTCTATACCCATATTTGTGTCTGTATCTACCTATATGTAATGTGTGTGTTCTGTGTATTTTTTCCCTCTTGTTGACAGTCAACAACATATTATGCCCTTTCGCTATCTCTTACACTTAAAAAATTCAAATATTACACAATTCCCAAAATCACACAATAAATAAATATATTGGCAAAGAATTAGAAAAATAATCCAGATCTCAAGGCATACTCTGCTAGAGTCTCAAAAGCACACACCAGGACATTTTCTAATCATAATTCTGTTTCAAAGGTTGTAAGTATATTGCTTTCCTCCATTGCTATTTAGTTAGTAGATTTTTTACAGAAATGTAACAATACTAACAGACACACATTCACACCATCATTTCACAGCTCAAGGAATTTTCTAAATTGAACACATCGACGTAACCAGCACCAAATCCAGGAAAAGTAATATTACCAGCATTTCACTACCTCCAATCTGCTTTCTTTCAGCCACCATCCATGGAAAATCACTAATCCATGGATCATTTTTGACAGATTATAACCTTTATATACAGTTACATTGTATGTATTTATATCCTATCTGATTTTTCAGCTCAATATTACCTTATTTGGAGATTCAGCCAAATTATTGTTTATAATTGTAAAATATTAACTATCATCACTGCATATGATATCTTTATATAGAAATAACAGCTATAAATATATTGTTTCTTATGAGCATTTGGGTAACTTACAATTATGAGTGTTATGAATAGGGCTGCTATGAATATTATACTACATGTCTGTTAGTCAATGTATGTGTGCATATCTCATAGGTATATGCCCTTGGGAATGTGATGCTTACTTATATCATGTGCCTAAACTGAACATTTGTAACTTTTCCAGTGATTTTCCTAAGTGGTTGTAGGAATTACATTCACATTAGCAATGGATGAGAGTCTTGGTATAACTAGTATTTTCCTTCTTTTATTATATAGTTATTCTTGCAAAGAACTGACTCATTTGAAAAGACCCTGATGTTGAGAAAGATTGAAGGCAGCAGGAGAAGGGAATGACAGAGGATGAGATGGCTGGATGGCATCACCGACTCAATGGACATGAGTTTGCGCAAGCTCCAGGAGTTGATGATGGACAGGGAGGCCTGGCGTGCTGTGGTCCATGGGGTTGCAAAGAGTTGGACACGACTGAGCGACTGAACTGAACTGAACTGATTCTTCATATATGATGAAATGTGAACACTATAACTGTACAATGGATAAGATATAGCAAATGAGGCATACACTTAAAAGATTATTTTTTGTTTTGATAGTTATGGATTTTCTTCAGTTAGTGTAAAATTATTATTATTATTGGTAGGGAAAATAAGTTTAATGTCTGAGATTTGACAACAAAATAGTGTGACTCTTGTGTTTGATGTCATTTAAATTTTGTGATTTTTAACAGATTTACCATTAGACGCATAATACATGAATTTATTTGAGATGTACATTATGTGTGTGTGTGTGTGTGTGTGTGTGTATGTTTATATCTATACAACCACCACATCAGTCAAAAGACAGTTGACTCCTGAACATTGCAGGGTTGGGTGATGCACTCCAAGCAGTCTACACACCCATGTTTAACTTTAACATCGGTCTTCCACATCTGAGGTCCCTCTGTAGTGCAGGTTCCACCGTATCTGCAGCTGCTCTCCCATGGATTCAGTCTACTTCTGATGCTATAGTACTGTAGTATTTATTGAAAAAAATCTGTGTACAAGTGGATGTACTTATTGTTCAGTTACCAGGTTGTGTCTGAGTTTTTGCGACCCCATGGACTGCAGCATGCCAGGCATCCCTGTGAGTGCACAAAGCAGTTCAAATCCATGTAGTCCAAGGCTCAACTGCAGTGAATCCATCCATCACCCACAAGTTTCTTCTTGCCCATATAATGCTGCTTTGCTGTCACTCCCAACACAAGCAACCACTGATCTAATCAGCATTCTCTATCAATTAGCTTAGACGTTCTACAATTTAATATAAATAAAGTCATACAGTCTATATTCATTTTAATTTTGCTTCTTTCACACAGGGTAAATGTTGACATCCATCCACATTGGTAGTTTTAACAGTAGCTCATTCCTTTTTTATTGTTCAATAACATGCTGTTTTTTGAATACACCACACTTTGTTGATCTGTCACCTGTTGGTTTGTCTTTGGGTTGTTTTCAGATCTCATCTATTACATGTGAAGCTGTTATGAACGTTTGTGTACAAAGTTTTGTAGGGATGAAGGCATTCTATTCTCTTGGGTAAACAGTGAAGTGACTGCATTACATGATAGGTGAAAGAAACTAAGGGCTTCTCTGAAGGCTCAGTGATAAAGCGTCCACCTGCCAGGGCAGAAGACACGGGTTCAAGCCCTGATCCTGGAAGATCCCATACGCCAAGGAAAAACTAAGCCCATGTGCTCTAGAGCTGGGAAGCCACAACTGCTGAAGCCCTCACGCCCTGGAACCCGGGCTCCGCAACGGGAAGTCACTGCAGTGAGAAGCCCGCACACCACAACTACTGAGTAGCCCCTGCTCACTCCAACTAGAAAAACCCTGGGCAGCAATGAAGACCCAGATCAGTCAAAGATACATAAATAAGATTACTTTAAGAAGAAGCTGCAACAGTACAGTTTTACATTTCAACAATAGTGTGTGAGACACTGTCCTCACATTTTGGCAAAACTTCATGTGGTTAGCCTTTAAAATTTAAATAAATTTTAAAAGAATGTAACAGCAACTAGTTGTGATTTTAGTGCGCATTTCTTTGATGAACAATGACATTGGGCATCTTTACATGTGCTTATCTATCACCTTACATCTTCTTTAATAAAGTATCCATATTTTGTCCATCTTTATTGGGCTGTTAGTTTTCCATTATTAATTTTCAAAGATTATATTGTGAATATCAAATTTGTATACATTTGGAATATAAATACTTTATTAGTTATATACCTAACTCTAGTTATATACAAAACTCTTCAAGTGAGTTTTGACGAGCCAAAGATTTTCATTGTGAAGATGTCCATGTTTTCACTTTTCCTCCTTAGATTGTGCTTTTGGTGTCACATGTTAAAAAAATAATTCTTATTTAATCCAAAGGCACTCAGGTTTTCTCATATATTTTCTTCTGGAGGTTTTACATATTAATATCAATGTTACACTGTGTTGGTTATTGTAACTTTATAGCTGCAGTTGGGTGGTGTATTTTCTCCAATATCACTCTGTTTCAAAGTTATCTTGACAACACTAGTCCCTTTGAAATTCTGTATAAAGTTTATAATCAGCTTGTCAATTTCTGCAAATGAACCTGATAGATGACTAACAAAAGGATTTTCCTAAGTGTATAGATAAATCTGGGGAAAACTGACCTTGCAACAAGTGTTTTCCAAACTCTGAACATAACTGTCTCTTCAGTTACTTAAATTTTCTTTAATTTATCTCGGCACTGGTTTGAAGTTTTCAGTGTACAAATCATGTACTTTTCCACCGAATTTATTGCTAAGTATTTTATTTTTTATGCTGCTGTGAATAAAATTGCTTCCTTAATGTAATTGTTGGATTGTCTCTTTTTAGTTTGTAGATATACGATTGCTTTTTGTATACTGATCTCACTTTCTGCCACCTTACTCTTTAGGTTTTGGCGACTCAGAATTTTCTGCATATAGAATCATATTACCTATACAGAAACACTGATTTTCTTTTTTCTTTTTAACCTGTATGCTCTGGGGGGAAGGATATATTGACTAGACCCTCTGATATATTAAGTAGAAGTAATCTGTAGCAGGCTTCCCTGGTGGTTCAGTGTAAAGAATCTGCTTGCCAACGCAGGAGACGCAGGTTCGATCCCTGGGTGGGGAAGATTTCCTGAAGAAGGAAATGGCACTCTAGTATTCTTGCCCAGGCAATCTCATGGACAGAGAAGTTTGGTGGGCCACAGTCCATGGGGTTACAAATAGTCGGACACGACTTAGAAACTGAATGATATAACACAAGCTACAGCCACAGGTGAATGTATAGCCAGCCAGCCTTCCCTCTTCCCTGCCTTCTTTCCTGGCCACACACTGCTGTTTGTGGACAGAGCCAGATCCTGCCTTCCATCAGGTGACATGGCCATGGTGACACCTTCCATGGTGACATAGCCAATGTCACCATGTTCACCTGTGAATAGCCCCTGCAGTCATGCACTTGTATGTTCCCAGCCTGATTCTTGTCTCTGGCTTCCACTGCATGCCCTGGGGTGAGCATCCAGCCACAGAAGAGCATGTGGACACCCAAGGCTCCTGCAGCTGTTTGTCAGATCCAGATCAGGTTCTGCTTCTCTGACCGGCCCACACCACCGTGCCTATCTGTAACCAGCCCCTGCCTTCAGCTCTGAACCTGCACACCCCCAGCAAGACCTCCATCACTGACCTCCAAGACAGTGCGTACACCCAGGGGAGGAAGAGAACAGCTACAGGAGAGCATACTCTAGCTGTTTGTTGGATCCAAATCACAGTTGGAATTCTCACAGTGGTGGGCATCACTGTGCCTACCTGGAGCTAGCCTGTCTGGGTGGGCACCTGCATGCCCCAGAACTTGATTTCCCCACCCCATCACTGATTTCCCTTGCAGTATGCATTCACAGAAGTAGAGTGTGAAGCAATAGGAAAGCGCACTGACATTCAGGACCATTGGAGCAGCCAATGAGCCTGTGGTTGGCTTCAGCCATTGCCACCTACCCCAGCCCTGATCACTACAAACACATCTTCAACTGACACCTGCCACCACATGGACACCTGCACTTGGGCCCCACAGCCAAGTGTATGCACACCACTGTCTCCAGTCACTACTGTTGCCAGAGCTTGTCCTTAGCTATACTTTTAGACTTTAGGACTATGATCCATTTTGAGTTAATATTTGAAAGTTGTGAGGTCTGTGACTAGGATAATTATTTTGCTTATGGGTGTCCAGCTGTTCCAGTGAAATGACACAAATACAAGAAAAATTTTACAAATGGATACGTATGAAACAATTTGGGCCGTGTAGTCCAATAAGAATAAAATGCTCTCCTCCAATTAAAAATAAATAAATTAACTAAAAAGCAAGAAAAAACGTTGATATAGACAGAAACCAACACACTATTGTAAAGCAATTATCCTCCAATAAAAATAAATAAGTTAATTTTTTTAAAAGGAAAGTGAAAGTGAAGTCGCTTAGTCGTGTCCGACCCTTTGCGACCCTGCGGACTGTAGCCGCCAGGCTCCTCAATCCATGGGATTCTCCAGGCAAGAATAAACACTCATCAAATACAACTGCTGCTACTGCTAAGTCACTTCAGTCGTGTCCGACTCTGTGCAACACCATAGAAGGCAGTCCACCAGGCTTCGTGTACCTGGGATTCTCCAGGCAAGAACACTGGAGTGGGTTGCCATTTCCTTCTCCAATGCGTGAAAGTGAAAAGTGAAAGTGAAGTCGCTCAGTCGTGTCTGACTCTTAGCGATCCCATGGATCGCAGCCTACCAGGCTCCTCCATCCATGGGATTTTCCAGGCAAGAGTACTGGAGTGGGGTGCCACTGCCTTCTTCATCAAATACAACTAGAATCTAGGATTTATTTTATTTATGTATTTTTGTGTAATTGCTGTGACTAGGACTTTCAATTCTGTGTTGGATGAAAGTAGTGGGCATAGGCATCCTTGTCTTATTCCTGATCTTAGAGGAAAAGCTTTCAGCTTTTAACGATTTAGTATGATTTTAGTTTTGGGTTTGCCATATGTGGACCCCACCTTGATGAGGTAGGATCACGCAATACCCACACTGTTGACAGTTTTATTTCTTAAAGATGTATTTATCTGCTTTATGTTTGGCTGTGGTGGGTCTTCATTGCTGAGTGCAGGCTTGCTCTAGTTCGTGACAAGCAGTGGCTACTCTTGGTTGCAATATGCGGGTTTCTCACTGAGGTGACTTCTGTCGTGGAGCTCAGGCTCTAGGGCATACCGACTCAACAGCTGCAGCGGATGGACTTAGCTGTCTTGTGGCATGTGGAGTCCTCCCGGACCAGGGATTGAGCCCATGTTCTCTGCATTGGCAGGTGGATATTTAATCACTAGACCACAAAGGAAGCCCTGTTAAGAGTTTTGTTTTTTTTTTTTTTTGAATAGATGTTGAGTCAATGAATAGCAACTTTTCTTCATTCATGGAAACTAGAGAAAGTATAAACTTGTACTTCATCACTCAAAATGTGATTTACTATTATTTCCTAGTAAATATGTATACTTATATTTTGTCATACATTTTTCTCTAAATTTCATTCAAAATAAACACCTTACCCTACATGTCATGTGTTTTTAAATAATCTGCAAAATTTTTAATAACATGAAATGCAAATAATTTGCATAATGTTCATTCATCCATATTTATTTTTCATTCATGCTATTATGTTTATTAGGTTTTCCCAGGTGGCATTAGTGGTAAAGAACCTGCCTGCCAATGCAGGAGATATAAGAGACTTGGGTTCGATCCCTGGGTCAGGAAGACCCTCTGGAGAAGGAACTGGCAACCCACTCCACTATTCTTGCCTGGAGAATTCCGTGAACAGTGGAGCCTGCTGGGCCACAGTCCATAGGGCCACAAAGAGATAGACATAATTGAGGTGACTGAGCATGCATGATGTTTATTGAAACTTGAGTACTATATTGCATTTTAGTAACTGAGTTGATTAAAACTGGGTGTCTCTGTGGAAAGCACATTGCAAACATTATTTAACATTAATTTAATGAAAGCCACTATTCAAAGTAACTCTTTTAGTCACTTGGGATCATGGAAGATTTTAGTTAATAGTGTATTTCTTTATTTCATGAAGCATACTATTTTGATGTGTTATTTTTAAAGCATCCTAGAATTTAAAAGTTAAATTTCTACTCACGAAGTTTAAGATTTCCATCGTCAATACTTCCTCCTGGTGAACCAATTTGTAATTCACAATCTGGAGGTGCATAGTCAGGAATGCAATGACAATTGCCTAAATTATTACATATCTGAAACAGAAAAATATGTAATTACTATAAATCATGATAGTCTCTGTATGTCATATATACTTACATTCAAAAGAATAAAATCCCTGATCTTCTAAATTTGTTGTTGTTCAGTTGCTAAGTTGTTTCCAACTCTTTGGCACCCATGAACTGTAGCACAACAGGCTTCTCTATCCTTTACTATCTCCCTGAGTTTGCTCAAACTCAGGTCTATTGAATCAGTGATGCCATCCAACCATCTCATCCTCTGTTGCTCCCTTCTCCTCTTGCCCTCAATCTATCCCAGCATCAGGGTCTTTTCCAATAAGTCTGCTCTTCCCATCAGGTGGCCAAAGTATTGGAACTTCAGCTTCAGCATCAGTCCTTACAATGAATGTTCATGGTTTATTTCCTTTAGGATTGGCTGGTTTGATCTCCTTGCTGTCCAAGGGACTCTCAAAAGTCTTCTCCAACACCACAGCTCAAAGGCATCAGTTCTTTGGGATTCAGCCTTTTTTATGGTCAACTCTTACATCCGTACATTACTACTGGAAAAACCAGAGCTTTGACTATATGGACTTTTGTAGGCAAAGTGATGTTTCTGATTTTTAATATGCTATCTAGATTTGTCATAGTTTTTTTTTCCAAGAAGCAAGCATCTTTTGATTTTGTGGTTGCAGTCACTATTCTCAGTGATTTTGCAGTCCAAGAAAATGAAATCTGCCACTGTTTCTACTTTTCTCCCACCTATTTGCCATGAAGTGCTGGGACCAGATGCCATGATCTTAATTTTTTGAATGCTGAGTTTTAAGCCAGCTTTTTCACTCTACTCTTTCATCTTTATCAAGAGTCCCTTCAGTTCCTCTTCACTTTCTGCCATTAGAGTGCTATCATTTGCATACCTGAGGTCGTTGATAGTTCTCCCAGCAATCTTGATTCCAGCTTGTGAGTCATCCAGTCTGTCATTTTGCAGGATATGCTCTGCATATACATTAAATAAGCAGGATGACAATATACATATTTGACATACTCCTTTCCCAATTTGGAACCAGTCCATTGCTTCATGACTGGCCTTTCTTGACCTGCATACAGGTTCTCAGGAGGCAGATAAGGTGGTCTGGTATTCCTATCTCTTTAAGAATATTCCACAGTTTGTTGTGATCCACACAGAAAAAGTGTTTAGGATAATCAGTGAAGCAGAGGTAGGTGTTTTTTCTGGAATTCCCTTGTTTTTCTGTGATCCAATGGATGTTGGCATATTTACCTCTGGTTTCTCTGCCTTTTTTAAATCCAACTCATACATCTGGAAGTTATTGGTTTATGTACTTCTGAAGACAAGCTTGAAGGATTTTGAACACAATCTTGTTAGCATGTGAAATGAGTGTAATTTTATGGTAATTTGAACATTCTTTGGCATTACCTTTCTTTGGAACTGAAATGAAAACTCACCTTTTTCAGCCCTGTGGCCACTACTGAGTTTCCAAATTTGCTGGCATATTGAATGTGGCACTTTAACAGTATCATGTTTTAGGATTTGAAATAGCTCAGCTCGGATTCCATCGCCTCCATTAGCTTTGTTCATAGGTATGCTTCCTAAGGCTCACTTGACTTCATACTCCAGGATGTCTGGCTCTAGGTGAGTGACCACACCATCATGGTTATCTGGAACATTAAGACCTTTCTTCTACAGTTCTTCTGTGTATTCTTACTACCTCTTCTTAATCTCTTCTGCTTCTATTAGGTCCTTGCCATTTCTGTCCTTTATTGTGCTCATCCTTGCATGAAATGTTCCACTGGTATCACTAATTTTCTTAAAGAGAGCTCTAGCCTTCCTCATTCTATTGTTTTCTTCTATTTCTTTACAATGGCCACTTAAAAAGACTTTCTCTCCTTGCTATTCTCTGGAACTCTGCATTCAGTTGGGTTTATCTTTCCCTTTCTCCTTTTAGGCCATTCAGGAATGACCTAAATCAAATCCCTTATGATTTTACAGGGTAAGTGATGAATAGTTTCAAGGGACTAGATCTGGTAGACAGGATGGCTGCAGAACTATGGAATAAGGTTTGTAACATTGTACAGGAGGTTTTGAACAAAACCATCTCCAAGAAAAAGAAATGCAAGAAGGCAAAATGTTTGTCTTCTAAGTTTATTAAAGACTATATAACTGATACATAGGGCTTCCCTCGGGCTTGATAGTGAAGAATCTGCCTGTAATGCAGGAGACCCAGGTTTGATCCCTGGGTCAGGAAGATCCTCTGGAGAAGGAAATGGCTACCCACTCTAGTATTCCTGCCTGGAGAATTCCATGGGCAGAGGAGCCTGGCAGCTATACTCCATGGGATTGCAAAGAGTAGGACATGACTGAGCGACCAACACACAAAAGAGGGCCTTCATCCACTAATTAAGTCCCACTCCACTGCTAAGCATTTTATGTGTTACATATATTCACAGATAAACACATATACCCACATCCACAAACACATAAACATTCGTTCCCAGGTTTTTGCCAAACAAATATCACTAATGATATATTATGAATTTATTCCCATACTTGAAGGTATAAATATAGGGCTAGCACATTTTAAGAAATAGACATTTATGGTTATTTCCTATAATTATATTGCAGACATTGTGTTTTGTCCGTGTATGCTGATAATGATAAATTTGGGGGGTTTAAAGATTATTGAAATTTTAAATCTCTTTTCCCTACATATCAAAAGTGATTTCAATAAAATGAGTTTTATTTATAATACTGAATTACAAAAGTTTTCTTCTAATTTGCACATCAATATCTCTGTTTTTTGATATTTAGTGTAGTCCGACTGCCCAGGTGGCCTTAGTGATGAAGAATCTGTCTGCCAGTGCAGCAGACCCAAGAGATGTGGGTTCAACCTTGGGTTGGGAAGATCCCTTGGATTAGGAAATGGCAACCCACTCCAGAATTCTGGCTTGGAAAATTCCCATATACAAAGGAGGCTGGTAGGCTATGGTCTGTGGGGTTGCAGAGTCGGACACCACTGAGCACACACATACACACACAACACACTGGTGATAAACATTTTAATGCAAAATTTTGAAATTAAGACTAAAATATCATTTATTTCTTATTTCAAATCTAATACCCAAATTTTCCCCTATCCTGAATTAACATAAACAACAGAGGTTACCATCGCTACATTTTTACTAATGTAGTGAAAGAAAAAAGATGGTCAGCTAGAGCAGAAGCAATAACCAAATAAATATTACTAAATTTTATTAAGTGAAGAATGACTTGCTATTTCAGACTAGATATGTAATTTGACTTTCTAGTGTTTGGTGTTTAGTCGCTAAATCGTGTTTGACTTTTTGTAACCCCATGACTATAGCCCACCAGGTTCCTCTGTCCATGCAATTTCACATGTAAGAATACTGGAGTGGGTTGCCATTTCCTTCTCCAGGGGATCTTTCTAACCCAAGGACTTCCTAGCAGAAAAAATGAAATGAAAACATATACCTTAGTCCTTTGTCAGTAATATTTCTAATGTCAGAAAATGAAGAAAAGTAATCTCACAACATTCAGCACAAAGAAAATGGAATTAAACTACCATCACATTTCTCTCTGACAGGACTGAAGGCAACAGAACAGTCCAACTGAGCTTATAAAATTTTGGGAGAGCAGAACTAAAACTTAATAATTTTGTGCCAACAGAATGAGTGATTTTTTTTTTAAATGTGGAAAGACAACATTTTTGCATTGTTGATATGCTAGACCTCTAAATGTATACTGCACAAGATATATTTCTCTCTACTTTAAAGTGGTATCCCGGCACCCTATCTCCCCCATTAAAGTAGATGAACAATGCCATGTTAGAAACAACATTTATCTAGAATATCAAATCTAAATGGATAAATTCCCTATAATATAAATTTTAGAAAAAAATTAACATAATAGACCAAATCTCTTAGGAACATCAAAATAGCTATATTTTGGATTTTTTAATAAAACTTTTTACTGTAAAATAGAATGTACATACACCTAGTCTTACTGGAATGTTAATTTCATAGTGTATAAAATATCAAATTACAACAAAGATCCATCTAATCAAAGCTATGGTTTTTCCAGTAGTCATATATGGATGTAAGAGTTGGACTAAAAAGAAAACTGCACACTGAAGACTTGATGCTTTTAAACTGTGGTGTTGAAGACTCTTGAGAGTCCCTTGGACTGCAAGGAGATCCAACCAGTCCATCCTAAATGAAATAAGTCCTGAATATGCATTGGAAGGACTGATGCTGAAGCTGAAACTCCAATACTCTGGCCACCTGATTCAAAGAACTGACTCATTTGAAAAGACCCTGATGCTGGGAAAGATTGAAGGCAGGAAAAGGGGACGACAGATGATACAATGGTTGGATGGCATCACCGACTCAATGAACATGAGTTTGAGTAAGCTCCAGGAGTTGGTGATGGACAGGGAGGTCTGGTATGCTGCAATCCACGTGGTCTCAAAGAGTCGGACACAACTGAGTGACTGAACTGAACTGACACTTGAAACTAATATGATATTGTATGTTAATTACAGCTAAATAAAATGTATCAATAAACTGCAACCTATAAGTTTGGTTTGAGACTTTACACAAAAATATTGAGGTTGAAAGCTTGAAGCAGAGAATTGAACAAAGAAGAGCAAAAGATCAGGCCAACAATGATAACAATGAAAATGAACAACAATGAAAGTAAAAAACAAAAACATGAAAATGTAGCTATCTTTTTTGTTTACAGAAAAATTTCATAGAAAATTCAAGACAAAGCAGCAGCATTCTATATCTTCTAAAACCAATCACGTAAATTGTAATAATGAATATTACAAAACTGAATACTGATAAATTTGTTATCATTTCTATAATGTTGACTGAATCATACACTGATTTTCTTTTTGGAAAGCAGTAAAACAAGGGACCCAAATTATGCATTTTTTAAGAAGTAAATATTAAATGCAAAAGTAACTACAAATCTGTATTGCCAGATTAAAATGTATAAGCAGTTGAGAATAAAATGCTTTTTGCATAAAGATATTTTCTAGTAGAAGCCTCTTCATAAAAACTTCAGAAATTCTCTAACATGTCTTTAAGAATATCTTCTGTAAAATACTATATAGCTATAAATTTTAATTATGAAGAGTATGAGGAAGAAGAAATATGTTCACAATATAAGTAAAATATGCATTCATTTGCATGAGAAAATGATTTTTTTAATTTAAATGTGTTATCAATTTATAAGTTTTGAGTGCTTACAATAAATTCAGTCCACATATAGTACAGTTCACTCAATAGTGTTTTGATCAGTTGGAAATCAGCTGATTTTCTTTATATTAGTTAGCTATTCCTAGGCAAGATTGGATAAAAGAGCAACTTAGATTTTCATTTCTACCAAACAGGATGGATTTTTTACTTTGAATTACTCAAAAAGTATCATAAAATTTAGAATTACAAAAACAAAAATTTCTTACCCCATTTCCTCTGCATTTTATAGCGGCATTACAATTATATCCCATTAAAGAAACTTCTTTGCAGGTTTTATTTACACAATACTAAAACAAAACAAGCAATATTTCATAGTTATTTACAAATCTGACGTGAGGAGAGAAATAACTATATCATGTGTATACAAAAGACACTCTTGCTGAGACTTTATATTATGCATCACTCTGATTTTGGAACAAAGATTCTGTCAATCCAATACAAAAATCTAAACAATAGTAAGAGTTAAAAAAAAAAACAACAAGTCTGAGCGCGTTTGCCTTAACACAGTTTGTGTAGTGAGGTCATATAATTTTTGTTTTGATACTTACAATTGGGAACTGAAATGAGAATCACCATTATGGGAGCTAATGTTCTGCTATGAATAATTAGTTAGATTAATATTAATGATTCGTCTGCTCAAAAAATGGAAAATAATTTATTGTTTTAGTTTCAGTGTATAATATAAATTATTATTTTGGATGGCAAATTATCATAAATCCTTGTTATAATGCTAATTAGAATAATCCATCAAAAGAAATATTTTAACCTAACATGTATGCATTGCAAAACCCTAGTTATGTTGAAGTGGTTACTCAGGGGTTAAATTAGTCATTTTTTCCTCTCATTTACTTTTCTCTATTCTTTAAGAGAAGCTCCAAACTTATATTCTCTTGACTTCTTTAAATACATCAGCATAACACATGATGAAATCATTGAAAAAAAGAATGAAATTTAGCATTTTGCAATTATTTCCTGAAAATTAACATATAGCCAATGAGTAAATGATGTTGTGTATACCAGTCCATTTTTGCCATTTCTCTTGGATATAATATTGGAAGTGCTAGCCAGAGCAATAAGCAGGAAAATATGAAAAGCACACACATTATAAATAAACAAGTAAAATTATCTCTTTGCAGATGATATAATCTTGTATGTCAACTCTAAAGACTCCACATACACAGAAGTTTGTTAGAACTAGTCAATAATTCAGTAAAATTGCAGGGTAAAATATTAACACACAAAACTAAAGACATTTCTATAACAATGGACATTCTAAAAAGGAAATTAAGAATACAATTCAATAAAAAATAGCATCCACTATTATTAGAAAATTAAAATTAACCAAGAAGCATACAATGAAAACTAAAAGAAATACTAAAAAAAAATTAAAAAACAGAAAAATAAAATTTATCCTGTGTATATAGGCTGGAAGACATATTATTATTAATATATCAATAATATCCAAAGCATCTATAAATTCAATGCAATCGATCAAAATTTCAAAACAGATTTTTTTTTCATAAATAGAAAAACCCATCAAAAAATGCACGTGGAATCACAAGAGAGTATATATAGCTAAAATAGTCTTTAAGAAGAATAAAATTGAAAAATAAAAAATAAAAAGAATAAAATTGGAGGACTCACACTTCTTCATTTCAAAACTTACTATATTGTTCACTTCAGCAGCACATATACTAAAATTGGAATGACACAGAGAAGATTAACATGGCCCCATGCAAGGGTGACACTCAAATTCATGAAGTGTTCCATATTTTTAAAAACTTTTGCACAGTAAAAGAAACTATAAATGTGACAAAAAGTCTACCCTCAGAATAGGAGAAAATACTTGCAAATAAAGTAACTGACAATCTTCAAAATATAGAAACAGTTCATGAAGCTCAATATAAAAAAAAAAGAGTAATAAAGAAGTAAGACCTAAATAGACATTTTCCAAAGAAGACATATAGATGACCAACAAATACATGAAAAGATGTTCAACATCATTAATTATCAGAGAAATGCAAATCACAACTACAGCGAGATATCGCCTCACACAGGTCAGAATGGCCACCATCAAAAACTCTGCAAACAATAAATGATGGAGAACTTGTGGAGGAAAGGAAACCTTCATGCATGTTGATGAGAATGTAAATTGATGCAGCAACTATGGAGAATAGCATGGAGGTTCCTTAAAAAACTAAAAATAGAATTGTCATATGATCCACCAATCCCACACTTTGATATATATTCAGAGAAAACCATAATTTGAAAAGACATATGCACTCCAATGTTCACAGCAGCACTACAATAGCCAGAACATGGAAGCAACTAAAATGTCGGTCAACAGAGGAATGGATAAAGACGTGATATATACATACATTGGAATATTATTCAGACATAAAAATGAACAAAATTCTCATTTGCAGAAACATGGATTGACCTGAAGAGCATCATACAGAGTGAAGTAAATCAGAAAGAAAAACAAAACAAAACAAATATTGTCTATCAAAGCATATATCTGGAATCTAGAAAAATGGTATAGATGACCTTATTTGCAAAGCAGAAATAGAGACACAAGCATAGAAAGCAAATGTATACGTACCAAAGGTGAAGGAGGGGTGGGATGAGTTGGGAGATTGGGATTGACATATAATACAGTATGGATGCTATACATAAAATAGAAAACTAATGATAACCTACTGCACAGCACAGGGAACTCTGCTCAGTACCCTGTGGTGACCTAGATGGGAAGGAAATCCAAAAAAGAGAGGGTATATGATCAAAGTCTCTGGCAATCTTGATCCATTTTCCAAAATTCTACATGCGAATTTAACCACCTATGCTTCCTTATTTTTATCAAACCACAGAACTAACCTAGAATAAGGGAAAATGCCCTATCTTTACAAATCCAAATCTTTCTTATGAATCTAGATTTCTCAAATACTATTAATATTGCTTTTCAGATCATCTAGATGAAACATAACTATAATTTTAAAGAATACAAGTCACAAAGTTATATCAATTGACAAAAAAAGTATTTGACAATATTCAACACTTATTTGTAATGAAAAATAAAACAAACAAGCAAAACCTGTCTTTATTTGAAAATGAAGTGATTGTCTACATACAAAGTTCTAAGGTTTCTACCGAAAAAGTTCTAGAAATAATAAAATAATTCAGCAAGGCTTTGGGTACAAGTTGAATATATTTAAAATGCATTTTTATAAACATGCAAAAGATGAAATTAAAAATGCAATGTCAGTTATACTTACTCCAAAGTGAAAAAAATGTTGAGATGCAGTCGAACAGGAGATACACAATATCTATACCTTAACAATTATAAAATGCTGATGAAAGAAATCAATGACTATTTAAATAATTGAGGCGACTTAACTATTTTCATGGATTGAAAAATTCAACATAATAAAGATATTCACTCTTCCCAAACTATAGTTTTAACACAATTCTTATTAAATTTCTGAAAAGTTTTATGTTGTCTCATAAAAATTCGTTTGAGCTTCCCCTGTGGCTCAGAGGTAAAGAATTCACTTACAACGAGGGAGCCATAGGAGACATGGGTTCAATCCCTGGTTTGGGAAGTTTCCCCTAAAGGAGGGTATGGCAACTCACTCCAGTATTCTTGCCTGAAGAAATCCATGGACAGCGGAGCCTGGCTGGCTACAGTTCATGGGGTAACAAAGAGTTAGACATGACTGAGCAAATAATAGGGCTTCTCTGATAGCTCAGTTGGTAAAGAATCCGCCTGCAATGCAGGAGACCTTGGTTGGATTCCTGAATGGGGAAGGTCTGCTGGAGAAGGGATATGCTACCCAATCCAGTATTCTTTGGCCACCCACTTTGAGCAGCACTAGCAGAAAAGAACCTGCCTGCCAACACAAGAGACATAAGAGACCCAGGTTCAAACCCTGGGTCAGGAAGATCCACTGGAGGAGAGCATGGCAACCCACTCCAGTGTTCTTGCCTGGAGACTCTCATGGGCAGAGAAACCTGGTAGACTACACTCCATAGGGTCACAAGAGTTGGACAAGACTGAAGCAACTTAGCATGGCATGGCATAAGTTTATTTTACAGTTTGTATTGAAAGGTGCAGGGTCTAGAATAACCAAAACTATCTTTTGAAAGAAAAGTAAAATGAGAAGAATCACTCCACTTATTATTAAAGCTTACTAAATTGCTAAAGTAATCAAGAGAACATGATATGGGTGGATATATAGACATGCAGATTAATATAACAATCTAGACAATACAAAAACAGACCCACAAAAATACACCCAATTCATTTTTGACAAAAGTTCAAAAAAAATGAACCTCAACCTAAACCTTAGGTTAAAGTAAATTAACTGAAAATAAACCAAATGTAAAACAAACTTAAATGTAAAACATAATATTACATATTTTTAGAAATAAAACAAACAAACAAACAAACAGAGAATATCCTCATGACCCAGAGTTAGAAGTAGGCTTATTAGACTTGACACATAACACATGTTCCATGAAAGGAAAAATTGACGTATTGATATCATGAAAAGCTTTTCCATATGAGTTTCTCCACCATGTAGAATGCTTTAGCAAAGCAAGCAAGCTGAGAAGGTGAGAGAAAGAAAATGTGCATGCCAAACAGAAGTCACTGTCTTTTTTTAAAAAACTAATCTTATAAATGACATTCCGTAATGTTCACCATCTTGTCTTTCTTAGAAGCCAGTCACTTCTAAGAAAGTGCACACACAGTGCACACACAGATGAAGAGGATTACACTTCAAGGAGTGAATATCAGGAAGAGCAAGCATTGGAGCCATGTTAGAAGATGCTGGCCATGAGAAGCAAGTTCCCAAGGGGATAGGGCTGCTCAACGCAGACAGAACTGCCTAGTTGATTAATCATGTTAATGTTTTGTTTTATTTTTAATACATAAGTACTAAATGCCACTTACATAAAACACTGATTTACAACTGCTGCCTTATATTTTCTGGAATGTGTGCACTCATATTCCAGACTGACTCCCTGAGCTTCTGAATCATTTTTCTTCTCTCTTTATTTTTTAGCTACATAAATAGTACTACATGTACATCTCAACATGAGTTTGTACATCACTATAGCTGTGCTTTCCCAGTGCAGACTTCTGGTTTGGGCCCTCCAGACTTCTCACACTTATATTTTGACAATACAGATAAAATATGAGTGCTCAATTATGTTTTTTTCTGAAGTAGGAAAAATTAAAAACACAAAATTAGAATTTTGTGATTTAAAGCCATCAGAATTCAAAGATCTTAAAAAGAATCAACTGTCAGTGGACTCCTGTGCTTAAAAATGCATCTTCTCCCATAAGGACTGATGACAGAGTAATCCAAAAAGTCAATGTTATTTGATAACCGAGGCTTGGTTTAATAATCTTTTCAATATCATATGGGAAATAAATGGCAGCGCCAGGTTCAAATCCTCTCTGTATGATTGGGATAGTCATCGTGGAATATAGTATCTGATAATTACATAATTTAACACAGGTAAATGCAAGTGAACATGTTTTGTTACCATCTGTGCACCACACATGGTGCCATCAGCCACATAGGTATCATCTCCTCCACCTGATCTCACTGATGATGCAGGAGTTATGCACACAAGTCCTTGAGAATATGAATAAACTGTGGATCGAACATCACTTCTATAAGTACTATTTTGTGGCCAAACACAAGCTAATTTTCCACAAAGAACATCCCTGGAGAGGAGAAACAAAACAATGTCTTATCATTCTGTCCTTTAATGTAACATAAGTTTTAAATAAGTATTGTATCACATCAATGATAACATAAAAGTTGTTTAACCAATAGTAAAAAATCAGAAAAATACCAAAATGACACTGTGCCCTAGAGTGCACATCTGAATTGATAGAATTAATTGGCACAGCAGAAGCAGAACTGAACACTATACAATAAACTCAAATGTTCAGATATGCTTTCATTTCCTATTTTAGTACTCAGTTTTGTTATCTAGCCCATTACACTGATCACACTCTGAGAAAATTCTTCACCTGCTCCCACTTTGATAAAGCTTGACCAGCCTGCTGATTTGTTACCCAACATTTGTTGAGAGTGGCTGACTGCATTTATTTACACTTTGAGCATATTTTGAGACCCTTCTAATTATGCTCATTGTAATGGCCATGATCTTTAGTCAGTAAATCTATTTAATATACAGACTCTTCATTTTGATCCCAAGATTCTTTGAATATGTTGATATTTCCAGTCATTCTGTATTCCTTTCCTGAGAATTCAGAAACTTTTAGATCTCATATTTGGCATAAACCATACCAAAGTTTATCCCATAAATAGTTTGTTTACTTATCAATGGGTAGAATACTGGCTTCTCTAAGAGACTTCCAATATTCCTAGTTTATGCCCTGGAAAATAACTGATGTCACTTCTTGCTCTTGGAATTACTCAAATCTAACAACTCTCATCCTCAAATGAAAAAACAGTTCTTAGTTATTGATATATATTTGTTGAGCATGTCACTGTTATCTCTCCAAATGTCTTTCATTTGAAAATTTCATCCATTTGCTCTAAAAGACCATGGGCAGGCTTTTTAAAAAATGATTTATTTATTTGGCCTTGTGGCTTGCAGAATCTTAGTTCCCTTGACCAGGGATTAAGTCTTCACCCTCAGCAGTGAAAGCATGGAGTTTTAACTATTGAACTCCTGGGGAATTCTCCATGGGAGGTAATTTTAAAATAACAGAGATTAGCTTAACGGTATCAAATGAGGGCTTCTCAGGTGGCACAGTGGTAAAGAATCTGCCCACCAAGATGTGGGTTCAATTCTTGGGTTGGGAATATCTCCTGGAGTAGGAATGTCAATGCACTCCAGTATTCTTTTTTTTTAAATATAAATTTATTTATTTTAATTGGAGGGTAATTACTTTACATTTTTATATTGGTTTGCCACATATTAACAGGAATCTGCCACAGGTGTACATGTGTTCCCCATCCTGAACCCCCTCCCACCTACCTCCCCATCCCATCCCTCTGGGTCATCCCAGTGCACCAGCCCCGAGCATCCTGTCTCATGCATTGAACCTGGACTGGAGATTTGTTTCCAATATGATAATACATATGTTTCAATGCCATCCTCCAAATAATCCCACCCTCGCCCTCTCCCACAGAGTCCAAAGGACTGTTCTATACACCTGTGTCTCTTTTGTTGCCTTGCATACAGGGTTATCATTCAGTTCAGTCCAGTTCAGTTGCCCAGTCGTGTCTGATTCTTTGCGACCCCATGAATCACAGAACGCCAGGCCTCCCTGTCCACCACAAACTCCCGGAGTTTGCTCAAACTCATGTCCGTCGAGTCGGTGATCCCATCCAGCCATCTCATCCTCTGTTGTCCCCTTCTCCTCCTGCCCCCAATCCCTCCCAGCATCAAGGTCTTTTACAATGAGTCAACTCTTTGCATGAGGTGGCCAAAGTATTGGGGTTTCAGCTTCAGCATCAGTCCTTAAGCAGGACTGATCTGCTTTAGGATGGACTGGTTGGATCTCCTTGCAGTCCAAGGGACTCTCAAGAATCTTCTTCAACACCACAGTTCAAAAGCATCAACTTTTCAGCTCTCCGATTTCTTCACAGTCCAACTCTCACATCCACACATGACCACTGGAAAAACCATAGCCTTGACCAGACGGACCTTTGTTGGCAAGTAATGTCTCTGCTTTTTAATATGCTATCTAGGTGGTCATAACCTTCCTTCCAAGGAGTAAGCATCTTGTGATTTCATGGCTGCAATCACCATCTGCAGTGATTTTGGATCCCAAAAAAATAGTCTGACACTGTTCCCACTGTCTCCCCACCTATTTCCCATGAGGTGATGGGACCAGATGCCACGATCTTAGTTTTCTGAATGTTGAGCTTTAAGCCAACTTTTTCACTCTCCTCTTTTACTTTCATCAAGAGGTTTTTTAGTTCCTCTTCACTTTCTGCAATAAGGGTGGAGTCATCTGCATATCTGAGGGTATTGATATTTCTCCCAGCAATCTTGATTCCAGCTTGTACTTCTTCCAGCTCAGCGTTTCTCATGATGTACTCTGTATATAAGTTAAATAAGCAGGGTGACAATATACATCCTTGACGTACTCCTTTTCCTATTTGGAACCAGTCTGTTGTTCCATGTCCAGTTCTAACTATTGCTTCCTGACCTGCATACAGGTTTCTCAAAAGGCAGGTCAGGTGCTCTGGTATTCCCATCTCCTTCAGAATTTTCCACAGTTTATTGTGATCCACACAGTCGAAGGCTTTGGCATAGTCAATAAAGCAGAAATAGATGCTTTTTTCTGGAACTCTCTTGCTTTTTCGATGACCCAGCGGATATTGGCAGTTTGATCTGTGTTTCCTCTGCCTTTAATAAAACCAGCTTGAACATCTGGAAGTTCTCGGTTCATGTATTGCTGAAGCCTGGCTTGGAGAATTTTGAGCATTACCTTACTAGCGTGTGAGATGAGTGCCATTGTGCGGTAGTTTGAGCATTCTTTAGGATTGCCTTTCTTAGGGATTGGAATGAAAACTGACCTTTTCCAGTCCTGTGGCCACTGCTGAGTTTTCCAAATTTGCTGGCATATTGAGGGCAGCACTTTCACAGCATCATCTTCCAGGATTTGAAATAGCTCAACTGGAATTCCATCACATCCACTAGCTTTGTTAGTAGTGATGCTTTCTAAGGCCCACTTAACCATCTTTCTAAATTCCATATATATGCGTTAGTATACTGTATTGATGTTTTTCTTTCTGGCTTACTTCACTCTGTATAATAGGCTCCAGTATCATCCATCTCATTAGAACTGATTAAAATGTATTCTTCTTAATGGCTGAGTAATACTCCATTGTGTATATGTACCACAGCTTTTATATCCATTCGTCTGCTGATGGACATCTAGGTTGCTTCCATGTCCTGGCTATTATAAACAGTGCTGCGATGAACATTGGGGTGCATGTGTCTTTTTCAATTCTGGTTTCCTCAGTGTGTATGCCCAACAGTGGTATTGCTGGGTCATATGGCAGTTCTATTTCCAGGTTTAAGGAATCTCCACACTAGTCTCCATAGTGGAGATACTAGTTTGCATTCCCACCAACAGTGTAAGAGGGTTCCCTTTTCTCCACACCGTCTCCAGCATTTATTGCTTGTAGACTTTTGAATAGCAGCCATCCTGACTGGCGTGTAACAGTACCTCATTGAGGTTTTTATTTGCATTTCTCTGATAATGAGTGATGTTGAGCATCTTTTCATGTATTTTTTAGCCATCTGTATGTCTTCTTTGGAGAAATGTCTGTTTAGTTCTTTGGCTCATTTTTTGATTGGGTCATTTATTTTTCTGGAATTGAGCTGCAGGAGTTGCTTGTATATTTTTGAGATTAATTCTTTGTCAGTTGCTTCATTTGCTATTATTTTCTCCCATTCTGAAGACTGTCTTCTCACCTTGCTTATAGTTTCCTTTGTTGTGCAGAAGCTTTTAACTTTAATTAGGTCCCATTTGTTTATTTTTGCTTTTATTTCCAATATTCTGGGAGGTGGGTCATAGAGGATCTTGCTGTGATTTATGTTAGAGAGTGTTATGCCTATGTTCTCCTCTAGGAGTTTTATAGTTTCTGGTCTTATGTTTAGATCTTTAATCCATTTTGAGTTTATTTTTGTGTATGGTGTTAGAAAGTTCTAGTTTCATTCTTTTACAAGTGGGTGACCAGTTTTCCCAGTACCACTTGTTAAAGAGATTGTCTTTTCTCCATTGTATATCTTTCCTCCTTTGTCAAAGATAAGGTGTCCATAGGTACGTGGATTTATCTCTGGGCTTTCTATTTTGACCCATTGGTCTATATTTCTGTCTTTGTGCCAGTACCATACTGTCTTGATGACTGTGGCTTTGTAATAGAGCCTGAAGTCAGGCAGGTTGATTCCTCCAGTTTCATTCTTCTTTCTGAAGATTGCTTTGACTATTCATGGTTTTTTGTATTTCCATACAAATTGTGAAATTATTTGTTCTGGTTATGAGAAAAATACCATTGGTAGCTTGATAGGGATTACATTGAATCTATAGATTGCTTTGGATAGTATACTCATTTTCACTATATTGATTCTTCCGATCCATGAACATGGTATATTTCTCCATCTATTTGTGTCCTCTTTGATTTCTTTCATCAGTGTTTTATAGTTTTCTATATATAGGTCTTTTGTTTCTTTAGGTAGATATATTCCTAAGTATTTTATTATTTTCGTTCCAATGGTGAATGAAATTGTTTCCTTAATTTCTCTATTTTCTCATTGTTAGTGTATAGGAATACAAGGGATTTCTGTGTGTTGATTTGATATCCTGCAACTTTACTATATTAATTGATTAGCTCTAGTAATTTTCTGGTGGAGTCTTTATGGTTTTCTATGTAGAGGATCATGTCATCTGCAAACGGTGAGTTTTACCTCTTCTTTTCGAATCTGGATTCCTTTTATTTCTTTTTCTTCCCTGATTGCTGTGGCTAAAACTTCCAAAATTATGTTGAATAGTAGTGGTGAGAGTGGGCACCCTTGTCTTGTTCCTGACTTTAGGGGAAATGCTTTCAATTTTTTCACCCTTGAGGATAATGTTTGCTGAGGGTTTGTCATATATAGCTTTTATTATGTTGAGGTATGTTCCTTCTATTCCTGCTTTCTGGAGGGTTTTTTTTTTTATCATAAATGGATATT